TGGTAGGACACCTTCTCAGGCATGAAGGTCTAGTCAGAGACATATTAGAGGCAGAAACAGGAGTTAGGAGGGGTAGAGGTAGACCTAGATTAGATTACTGTTCGCAAATAGTTAAGGATGTGGGCTGTTCTAGTTTTAGGGAAATGCGAATGATGATGATGATGATATAATAAATTTTCAAATATAAATTTAGGGCGATTATCAGATAAAATATTTTTAATTTCTGAAAAATATCTTTCCATGTCACAGGAAACTATAGGAGCAAATGATAAATCAACTACGTCCGTTATATTCAAATTATTGGGAGCAACAGCATCAGTTTATTCCTCTTGTAAAACCTTGCAAATGTTTTTTAAATTTTGATATCCCGTATTTTTTTGCAATACTGGCGACAGTTTATTAGCAAAACCAAATAATGGGTTAAATATGCATTAGAATATGCAGTTATGCAAATGCATAATCATCCGAACCCTACTGATAAACATGTTGTTTGTTAGTCGAAAGAATGGTAAATAGAGAAAGTTGTTATTCTAGATGGGGCATACAAAAAAGTGTGTGTGATAAACAGATACAAAAAAGTGCAAATAATATTAATGTTGTTTGTTCTATCTTGAAGTTAAAAGCAAATTCTTTAGTTTAGATTGTCGTGCTCGCGTGGTGATAAGCCGATGTGTGTGTTGTGCGATTTCAATTGACTGTAACTTAATTACTTAGAATAACTGCAAATCAAAAGGTAGGATTTTTGATTAAAAGTAACTGGAAACGTTACATTTCATTTGTACCTTATAATTGTAGGTATTTAAATGGTTAACTGAAAATGACATGATTCTATATAAATCGTAATATTCAATGAGAATTTTGTCATTCTAACTAACATTATAAGTACGAATGTAAGTTTGTTTGTTTGTTTATTACACTTTCACAATACTCAACGTACATACATTGTCAGAGGTACATAAAAGGGCTTCAGAGTACTTCCTATCCAGAAAAAGATACTGTTCCCGAAGGATACAAAAATTCCTTTTCATCTCGATAAAGATGTATGTTTAACGAAAACAATTAAAAACTTTAGTTTTACCCTGATGCTACAGGTCAGGACCTAAGAACAAATTTATCAAATTATTGTATTTTTGATAATCATTTATACGTGTTTAGTACATCAACGCGAGCGGAGCCGCGGGTGAAAACTAGACTTTTTATAAAAATAGGAGGAATACTTAGTTCAATTTTACTGGACTATATAGTGGAAACTAAGTTATTGTAGTTTGCATTAAGGATGTTTGGGAGGTATGTCACAATGCTACGAGACAAATAAAAATGTGGAAGAACTTTCCTCATTCAATTCTAAAAGTCCTGTAAAAATTACAAATCAATTCACTAAACCGTTAAAAAATTTTAAAAAATTGTAATTTTACACGTCATTTTATGAAGAAATTTT